TGTGTGTGTCTGTGTGTATATCTCTGTGTGTATATGTGTGTGTTCTTGTGTATGTGTGTGTGAGTGTGTGTGTGTGTGTGTGTGTGTGTGTGTGTATCTAGAGGTCAGAGGGCAGTGTGAGGAGTCGGCCCTCCTCTTCCACTGTGTGGGTCCCAGGGCTTGACCTCAGGTTGCCGGCTTGGTGGCAGCTGCCCTGATCCTGCTCACCTTAGCAGCCTGTGAGTGCTCTTATGAATTGTTCCTGTGAAGAGCCAGGATTGCGCCTTTCAGAGCCCCAGCAGCCGCCTTTGCTGTCGCTTTTGCTCCTTCCACAGTCGTGGGGGGGAGGGGCACTCGGGCCGAGTGCTTTATAGTTTCATTCCTCCGCCTCTCACAAATCGCAGAACAGGAAGTGAGGTTGGGGACTAAATCGCTTGTCAGAGGCCAAAGAACAAATTCTCTGTGGGGTGTGTGTTTACCTGACAGCTTATTCTGAAAACCTTCTCTGGGTGGTTGCTCCTCCTTAGGACTCACCCTTCTCTTCCGGGCGCCCCAAACAGGCGTTCACCTGCTGGGGAGATTACACCTAGAGGGGAGGGCGCTCTGCTGATGTCTGTTTGCCGGGTGTAGAAAGTTGGTCTGTGGAATTGCTTTTGGAATTAGAGTTGGGAACTGAACTGCTGTAAGAAAAGGAAGCTGGTGGCTGGAGAGCTCAGTGAGTAGCTCATGGGCTGCTCTTTCACAGGGCCTGGGCTCAGAACAGAGACCTATGTGCAAGCAAAACACCTGCACTCGGGAGTGAAGAAATTAATCACAGAATCAAGAGAAAGAAGCCTAACACGTATACACACGCGTGTGCGCGCGCGCGCACACACACACACACACACACACAAACGCATAGGGAGTTGTTTAACACAGCAGGGTCGCAATGGGTGGTGGACACGTTTGTATGTGGGCTCCTGCGGGGGAACCCTGAAAGCCAGGGTCTGATGAGCCGGGGGAAGGGATCAGGTGAACTGTGAGCTTCATGGCAGGGGTGGGTGGGTGGGAGGTCAGGGGCTGGGCCCCTGGGCCCTAGCCGGCTTCTGTGTGGGGGGCCTGGAGAGGAGTTGGGGCAGCCCTCCTCGTGAAACTTGACATCCGAAGTTACCGTCTTCTAAACAGTGACCCCCACTGTCAGGTGTGCAGGCAAATCAAGGGGCCTGCCCTCAGGGGCTCTCTCTGCCTGCCCTTTCTCTCCCCTTCCCGCTGTCTGGGGAGCCTTCCCTCCCCCCACCTCTCTACCTCTCTGCCCTCAGGGCTCACTCAGGCCCTAACACCCTTCTTCCCTTCCCTCAAATCAACCTCCTTATACCATCCCTGTTCCGCGGCGTGTGATATTCATAACACGCGCTGCACCCACAGTTCTGTCAGGAGAATACTGGGGTTAGGGCGGCATATCTTATGTCTGGGGAAGACAGAAACCAGAGGAAAAGGAGAATGCTCAGTAATTCTGGCTAAGACAGAGTGGTATGTGCTAGGGTATGTGGTGGGAACTGAACCCAGGTCCTGTGCAGGAGCAGCTGAGCCTCTCCAGGCCTGGCACTTTGCTGTGAGACACCCTCAAACCCCCGACAAGCCCATGCCATCACTGGCATCGTTTGCTTTTCCTCGGGTGCCGGGTGTGCTTTTCGGGACGCACAGACACGCTTTCTTGCGTTCCTTGCTTGTTTGGTGATGCAGATCCCTTCACACAGGAGCCAGGCCCATCTGTTCCTCACCCTTTTCTGGAGTGCCGCGTCCACACGTGGTTTCCAAGGCCGGTTTTAGTTTTCATTGATCATTCACAGCTCTGCTTCAGCGATTTGCTTTGCTATTCTTGTCTTTTCATTTCCTTCCTTCTCTGGCCTGTGCAGTCCCTCTTCACCTGTGGTCAGCTCACGTGACTCTAACTTTGTGATTATGGTTCCTGATAAGTGTCTTTAAAGGTGACCAGTTCCCGCTAAGACCTGTTTCCACAGAACCTGCTGCACCGTCTTCCGGTCTCTTTTCCCACAAGCCCCACATTTAACAGCAACAAAATTATGCTAAATTCCATAGTAGTATTTCAGTTTCTCTCTCTCTCACACACCGGGGATCAAACTTCGGGCTCTCCACAGGCTAGATAAATGTGCTTCACCTGTCACTTTCTTTTGCTGTGATAAGGCACCATGACCAAAAGCAGCTTACAGGAGGGAGAGCTGGTCTGGGCTTGAGGTTCCGAACTGGTACAGGCCATTGACGGGGAGGGCACGGCCTGGCTGGGGCAGGAAGCGGGCTGGTTGCTCCTCACCCACAGCGGGAAGCAGAACATGCAGGCAGGAAGCGGGATGAGGCTGAAAGACCTCAGAGCCGTCCCGGTGACACACTTCTTCCAGCAAGGGACCTCTTCTAAAGGTTCCGTAACCTCCCCCAACCGAGCCTCCAACCAAGTGTTCAAACAGCAGAGGTGGCGGCAGCATTTCTCGTGTGGACCACACTCAGCTACAACCCAAATCTTTCAATGTGTTTGTGTGTTTGCCCGCATGTATGTATGTGTGCGCCTGATGCCCACCGGAGGCCAGAGAGGGCACTGGATCCCCTGGACCTGGGAGCACAGACGGCTGCGAGCTGCCACCTGGGCGCTGGGAACTGAACCTGGGTCCTCTAGAAGAGTAGCCAGTGCTTTAAACCACAGAGCCATCTCTCCAGCCCCCTTATTTTAGTTTTATTTTTTGAGGCAGGGGCTCACGTAGCCCAGGCTGTCCTTGAACTGCTATTGTAGCCAAAGATGACCCAGAATTCCCCCTCTTCCTCCTTCTTCACTCCAGCACCACCATTTCTGCTTTTTGTGTTAGTGAGAGCCTGCCTCACCAGAGAAGCTGGCCACAGATACGGGTTGGGCTCTACGCTGTCTCTTCAGGTGGATGTCAGTAAACTGGAGCCTGGACCGCCCCTTGGCTTCCTCCATGGTCCGTCCTGAGCTGGATTTCTGGATGCCCTTTTGTTCCCAAGACATTGGTTTGCTGACGTGTAGCCCCTTTCTCCTGCTGTCACTCAGCATCTAATTCTGCATGTCCCAGCCTCTCTTGCTCCCTTCCAGTTTAGGGAGTTTCTGAGCACCACATAAAGACACCAGGTTTGCTATGCTATTAGCCCACGGCTGGCTTAGAGGGAACCTTAGTTGTCTTATCGGGGAAGACACTTGAGGACTGTGATTGCCCGTGTCTTGAGGCCCTTCATGTAAATGGATTTAAAAAAAATTTAAGAAACAGTGTGTGTGTGTGTGGGGGGGGGGGGGCTGACCTCAGGATGAGCCCCTAGGGAGCTACTCCCATGAGCAGCACATAAATCTAATATAAAACACAAATTCTGCCCGATGGTGTAGAGGGCTATGGGAACAGAGAGCTTCAACAAAGGGGAAGATGCTTGCTGCAGGGGAACACTATTTGGTGCTCTGTAGACGAGGCTGGCCTCAAACTCGGAGATCCGCCTGCCTCTGCCTCCCGAGTGCAGGGATTAAAGACCTGCGCCACCGCTCCTGGCTCACAGAGATCATATTTTTCCCCTTAATGTCAAGCTTTTAAAAGTTGAGCATTCCCTGTGGTGTAATTTCTTACATGGTAAGGAAGCTGATCTTGAGGCCTCAAGCATTACGTTCTGTCGATAACCCCCGGTTTGTTGCCAACTCAAACCTCCTAGTTTAGTCAAACCAAGTCTTTGTGTTTGAAGATACTCAGGTTCTCACTACCTCCTCGAAGGTCCCTCTTACTGTCGAGTATAATTGACCTTAAAACATTTCCAGAACTTAGACGGACAGAGCTATTTTAAAGCTACCCAACCGAGTGCCCAGGCAGGGTAACTTGACCTAAACTCCTACACCCCAAACCAATCATTCCTGCCAAGAACAAGAGTGTTAACTATGTCCAGCCAATGAGGTCACTTGTTCCTGTTGATGCGAATAATGTCAGGGTCATGTTCTCTCTACCACTGGAGCCAAAAGCTCTGGAACTCAGCTCGGTGGTGGTGCAGGCCTTTCAGCCCAGCGCTTGGGAGGCAGAGGCAGGCCTGGTCGGTAGAGTGAGCTCCAGGACAGGCAGGGCTTCAGACACTGTCTTCCCTGGAGGAACTTCAGCTCTATCGACTGTTGTTGGTGAGGCCCTAAAATTCTGGGTAGAGTCTTTTTTATTAAAACAAGCAAGCAAACAAACAAACAAACAAACAAAGCTCTTTAATGAGAGCAACAATCCTGGTGGCCAAAAGCTGTCAGTAGATCCAAAAGAGACCTTTCTCAGGGTGTCTGTACAAAGCCAAAATATACTTTTAAAAGACAGTTCACAAGGCCAGAAAGATGACGCGGTGGGGGGGGGGGAGTGGCACAAAGACCTTTGACCACAAGCTGATGACCTGAGACCTATCCCCAGGACCCTCAGGGCGGAAGGAGAGAGAGAACCTACTCCACAAACTGTCCTCTGGCATCTACTCCCATGCCACAGCAAGCACGTGTTAGCATAAATACACTAATAAAGTGTTTAAAAGCAGCCACAGTAAAAGGTGAGGTAGCTATGAAAAATCCCAGGCAGGAGGGAGCTTTAAGGACTACAGCCTAAAGCTGGGCGTGGTGGTGCACGCTTTTAATCCCTGCACTCGGAAGGCAGAGGCTGGAGGATCTCTGTGAGTTCGAGGCCAGCCTGGTGTGTACAGTGGGTTCCAGGACAGCCAGAGCCGCATAGGGAGACCCTTCACCACTCAGCTCCTTGACTCTCCATCACA